TTCAATCCAAGCCCTCTATTTCCTCTGTGAAAAAAATTTACAGCCATTGATGGATTGGTGACACTTATGAGTGTATACACTTGGATTTTTATGGTCCTTCAATCAGTACCTGCAGTCATTCTCTCTGTCCCTAATCAGTTCTGGCTTCTACTTCTTACAGAAATCCAGTTTAAGTCTTGACTATTCCTTTCAACTTCCTTAAGGGGAATATAGAAGTCATTGTATGAGATCTGCCTCAATTTACTATACTCCTTTCTCCCAATCAGAACGTAGATAGCATCTGAATCTCATCCATTCATTCCCTCTCTGCTGTGATCTGGACCTGGATAATTCTCCAGTATGCTATTGATACCTCTCACCCTTTCAGGAAACCAGTACAAGTGGTTGCTTTTCTTCCATTTCCATTTTTCCTTTCTGCTGGCTTACCTGCTCCCCATATATCCAGCAATGCTTCCTTCTTCTTTTGAATTCCCTCAATTCAACATTTGTGCCTGAATGTTTCTTATTTGTTTTTTCTTCTTTATATTTTAGATCTCTCTTATTTTATTTAATTAATTTTCCTCATTAAACTGTGTTTCCCAATTCATTAGCTAGACAGATGAATAGACAAATGAAATTTTAAATTGTGGTAAAATTTACTATCTTAACAATTTTAAGTGTACAATTCAATAGTGTTAAATACATTTAGAGTCAATCTGTAGAATTCTTTTCATCTTGCAAAACTGAAACTCTGTACCCATTAAATGGTATTTCCCCATTCCCATCTCCAGACCCTGTAACCACCATTCCACTTTCTGTCTATGAATTTGCTTTTCTACAGACCTTGTAAAAGTGAAGTCATATATTTGTGATTTTGTTGGGTGACTTATTTCACTGAACTTAAGATCTCCAAGTTTCATACATGTTGTAGCCTGTGCCAAAATTTCCTTCCTCTTTAACATTGTGTAGGTATACCACATTTTGTTTATGGATTCTTCTCTTGATGGACATTTGGGTTTCTTTTGGGAATAGTGCTGCTGTGAACACAGATACACAAATATCTCTTTGAGACACTGCTTTGGATTTGGGATGACATGTATCCATGAAGGGAACTGCTGAATCATATGGCAACCCTATTTGTAATTTTTGAGGAAGCATCATAATATTTTCCATACTAGTTGCACTATTATACAGTCCCAACAGTGTGCAAAGTTTCCAGTTTCTCCATGTCCTTCCAACACTTTATGTTCATGGGTTTTGTTGTTGTTTCATAGTACTGGGGATTGAAACCAGGACCTCATGCATGCCAGGCAAGCACTCTACCACTTGAGTCACGGTTCAGTCGTTTTGTTTTTGAGACAGGGTCTCATACTAACTTTGTCTGGTCTGGCCTCAAACTCATGACTCTACTGTCTCCACATCCCAAATACTTGGGATTATAAGAGTGCCTCACCATGCCCAGCCTTTATGATTCTTTTAAAGTAGTCATCCTAATAAGATAGGGGGTGGTATCTCATTGTGATTTTGGTTTTTGCATTTTCCTAATTACTAGTGTTGTTGAGCATGTTTCATGTGCCTGTTGGCCATTTGTATATTTTTTGGAAAAATATTTGTTCAAGTCCTTTGTCCATTTTGTAAATTGGGCTGCTTTGTTGTTGCAGTGTGTTGATTTTGTTTGTCTTTGAATCCCATATAGCATATACTCCATTGTTTTTTCCACTTCTAGAAACCGAGGTTTTATAAATCTGGGTGCCTGTGAGATTGATACAGAGGCACCAGGGAAATATCTACTCCGAGGTCTTGGTTGGGTTTTAAGTACATGCAGGTTTCAAACTGTCTAATTATCACCTTTTGAAAAAAAATTGACCATGTGCCATCTGAGGAAGACTCTTGAGTTAGACATGCATTTGTGTAGAAAAATTGCTATTGCCTCATCCCAAAACCCACACAAAGTGGCTTATTAGAAGGAAAGGTATTTTGGTTCTGAAATCCAACTGCTTGAGGAATTTGGAAGAGTTTATTTTATCTTTTGGTGTTGGAAATTACCCAGGATGAAGTATAGAATATGCTTCCTGTATAACATAAGTTAATTCTCAGGGAAAACAAATCAGAAAACACATTGAGACTCTTTAATGGGGTCGTTTTTAATTCAGTGAACATCCATCCCATGCCTAACAGTCAGACCGCTGGTTAGTGAGGTAGGAATAAAGTGGCAAGTTGGTCAGACTTAAGTTAGTTTAGTATAGAACTATCAAATTCCCAAGCAAGGAAAAGTACAGGACTCTACAAGTATAAATGGAAAAATATTAACCATTAATCTCTGCCTCCTGCTCATGTCTTCTCAATATTGCAACTTTTGCTTTGATTTCCTTAACAATGCAGGTAAAAATTATAGTGGCTGATTAAAATGTGTCATGTTGGAAATGCTGAGAGAAGTTAAAAGGTAATTTTCCTTTATTACTTAAAAATATCTGTGATTAAATCAATTGCTGCTCCTCCTCACCTATAGAACACAAAATGCCTACAGAGCTAAAGAAAGTGTTTCTTTTTCCAAATGATTGTTTCAGAGACTTGGTCATAGCCAGCTTTATAAGATGACTAAATGAAATAGCATGTGAAAGCTTCTAGCAAAGTCAGGCTAGTGGTTTTTCTTCTTTCCCTTTTTTCTCTTTTCTTTTTTTTTTTTTTGGTCTACCCATGGAAAAAAAAAGAAATTACTAAGCAAATTAATAAGTAAGCAGGCAAACAAGCAAAGCACTATTTTATTTACTAGCAGAAGCATTTAGCATCAGGACTCCATTCACACAATGACTTTGCTAATTATAAACAAGTCTCATGTAGTATTTAAAGCATTTACAAGGTTCTTAGAAACCTAGAGTTGTGCCCCCTTCCATTGTAGCAATGTGACTGCTCTCCTCAAAGAAAAAGAACAGCATTGTTTTGTAAATGTCCTGTTAGTCAGACTGTTTATTTACTTAAACTAAGACACCCTGAGGTTGGACACTTTCCTTACCAGACTGAAAATACTGAAGCCAGCATAGGTAGGCAGAGCTGGAGCATGCCTTACAAGGCCTTTCTAGAAATGCCCTCTGCCTATCTGCTCACTCTCAGTTCTTCAAACTGTCATTCTACCATAGCAAACTTCTTGTCAGACAAACAGTGCCCTGGGCCTATGTACTGACTTTTTCTGCATCTTTATCTGATGAGCTCCTGCTCGTCTTCTGTGACCCGCACCTCACTCATTGCCTTCTCTGAGCCACCTTTTCCAACTTCAGCTGGTACTTTGTTCCTCCCTCTACTGAATTCTCATAGCACTTTGCTCAGAGCTGTTAGAGTTCTGATCACATCATATGATCAAGATGTGTTCAGAAGGCTCTCTCCCACACTGGACTGTGAGCTCCTAGGAGACAGGGGCTGAAACTGACTTATCTTATAACCCTAAATAGTTTTTGGCCTAGTAGACATTCAGAAAATATTGAGAAAAATTTAGTATTAGGACCAGGATGGTAAATAGAGTGAGGTCTGAAGGAGAACAGATAAAATGATGGGAACTCTGAAGTAAAGAAAAAAAGAAATAGGAAGAGGTTAGAAGAGAGGGTTGAAACAGTGTGGGAACAGAGAAACTGAGGAAGGAACAAGTAGGAAGTGAAGGAGTGAAGAAGTGAGTCCTGGATGCTGGGAAGTGATGTAACGTCAAGAAAGGAAACATGAAAGAAAGAGAAAAAGAGAGAGATGGGGGGAGAAGGAAGGACTGAAGCAGAAAGAAAAGAAAGAGGAAGAAGAAAGAAGGAAGGAACATTAGGTGTTTGAAAGTGGAGCATTTCTGAGGCTCATCTCTACCCTCTTTTCCCTAGCATCACAAGATGGAGGGAGAAAAGGACAGTGAGGAACTAGACAGTAACCTCTATAGACTATGAGCTAGGCCTCTGCTTTTGGTTGCAGTTTGGGGCTGCCATGCTCTGTTGGCCATCCTGCTGCTCGGCCTCTCTGTTCTGATCCAGTCCTCAGCATTGTCACCTCTTCTCTCTTCTGCAGTATCACAGAGCCCCAGTGAACCTCCATGTATCCATTAAGTGCATATACGTGAGAACAGATGGACACATATGTGTGTGTGCTCGCTTCCCACTGTGTGTTTGTGGTATTGTTACTCTGAAAAATAAACCCAAAGGGCAATCCCACAGTCAAGCCCCCAGCTGCCTCAGCTTTTGCTGTGCCAGAAGGAGTCATTTACATAGCTCTGTGGGGAGGCTGCAGCCTGGCAAGAGCAGAGAACCTTGGTGTGCCCCTAGCCTTGCTGGGTACATTTATAGTGCACGAAGGGAGGGATGTTGCTGTAGTGATGCATGTAAATATAGCATAGTATTTATTGTGTCTTTAAGAGAGAATGACTTTTCAGACTCACTGAGCTCTCTTCCTCACAGGACATGTACCACTTGATGGCCACAGCCTTTTGGAATTATTTCTGGGGTAACCAAAAAGTGTCTTGTGCCTATAGAAAACAGAAGAGTGCAGCCCTGGATAAGTCAAGAGCTCAGATTGCTAGTGTGGGCTCTGCCATTTAGTCTGAGACTGAATTTTCTCACCTGTGAAATGAGACTGATCTCAGCAAAGTACCTCATAGGGTGGCTGTGAGTCTGAAATCACGTGATAGCTAAGACCCCACATCAGACTAACATTCCACAGAGTACCATTGCTACCTACTACCATTCTTTCAGCTGATCCTTTTATCAACCTGCCAATTATTTTGATCTTCACTTTACAGATAAAGAAACTGAAGCTCCCAGAGGAAAGGTGACTTAGCCAAAGCCATATAGCTAGAAAGATGACAGACACAAGTTTTCTGCTTTCAAACTATTATCCCTAGACACAAACCTGGCTACTTAGTGGCTTCATGGGCCCTGTTTCTTAGCTTCCCTCATGGTTCCTCCTCCCTGCAGCCTCTGAATGTACTTTGTGTAATGAATTAATTAGCTTTTTTTGTCTGTGTTCTTCCTTCTTCCCTTCTTTTTTCTGACTTCTAGAAGAAAACACCAGCAGCCCCAACAAAAAAAACAAGCACCACCTTCAACATCGTGGGGACCACCTATCCTATCAACCTGGCCAAGGACACTGAGTTTTCCACCATCTCCAAGGGTGCTGCACCCAGTGCCTCCTCCACTCCGACAATCATTGCTTCACCCAAGGCCACCTATGTGCAGGACAGCCCAACTGAGACCAAGACCTACAACAGTGTCAGCAAGGTTGACAAAATTTCCCGCATAATCTTCCCTGTGCTCTTTGCAATATTCAATCTGGTCTATTGGGCCACATATGTAAATCGGGAATCAGCTATCAAGGGCATGATCCGCAAACAGTAAATAGTAGTGGCAGCACAGCAACCAGAGCACTGTATACCCCATGAAGCGTCCAGGCACACAAACCCCAGGGCTACCCTTCATGTGTTTCAAGTTTCTTCTTTTAACCCTATTCCAATGAATCTCAGTGAAAAACCAACAGCAGAAAAATTACTTGTCCCTCAAACATTGCTAAGAATACCCCCATGAGAACCAAACACTGCCATTTGTCCAGTTGCTCATGTTAGTCTGCCAGTCTCCCCCAGCTGAGGGCGCTGCATGTGTTTTATTGCACTCTGCCTACTGCAGAAAGAACAGGAAACTCTACTCTCTAGTGGAGGCCTTGGATGTTTGAGAGGCCCAGGTTTGAGAGATCCAGAAGCATTATTGACTGGTCCAGATCAGAGAGTGACTCACTAGAGAGTCAGGCTGAACTATCCCATATGGTCCTGTCTACTGCTTTCTATGCTTACAGCAGGGCCTACTAGGCATAAGAACTGATAGCAAAGGCATAAGCCAGTGTTAGCCTCTGAACATGGCTCTCAATCCCTTTCTTGTCTTGGAGAATGGTAGGGAAAATTAAGGCTCACCATTGTCAACTACGTATGGTCAAAATAAATAGAACTATGTGGGCTAGCTTAGCACCAAGATGGCTGGTGCTCTGCCAGTTCCAACCCCTCAGGAAAGTATTACCCTCCTACATACATCTCTCCTCCAGGAAAATCTTCTTTGCTCAATGCATTTGACCCCCTTGTAACCAGCTGGGTACTGTTTAGTTTGGGTTCATTACTGTCTGCAAACTCTTCAGAAAAAAAATCAAATGTTTTATTTAAACTAAAAAGGTACAGCTAGAAGCAAAAAAGATCTAGGTCAAATGCCTGCATAACAATTTTATTTACAACATGGGAGAGACAAGAATGTCAGCTCCCAGCCAACACTAGTCCAGTACTGGATGGGAGAAGCAGGGGCAGTAGTTGAAGATTGAAATCTGGCTCAAAAGAAAGGACTACTGGCAAGTGAAAGTCAGACTTTTTCTTCCATATCCTTCCCCCCCCCCCCCCACATAATTTGTTTCCACGATGTCAAGGACCTCTGGTCCTCTGTGGATGTCAATTCTTGCAAGGGGTGAGTTGCAGCTTCATACAAATATCTCCAGTCATTTTTTGAGTCAACTAAATCATTAATTTTATTACCAATTTTGTAATATATTATTTTGAGGCCATTGGATTTCAATGTGAGTAAAAGGGACAGGCATAAATACAAATTTTTATAAAGTAGATAAACTAAGTCCCAGAAGTTTGAATAACACACCTGGACTCCTTACAAGTGTCTTTAATAAAGAACTATCATGCACCCTTTTCAAAAGGTGAAAATGAAGAAAGGACGGAGAAGCCAGGTCCACTTTGACCTCAGAATCAGCACTATCTCAGCAGGCCTTCTAGGTCATGAGGGCAGTTTGGACACCAAAAAGGTCTTTAGAAAGTTACAATGTATCATTCAAGAAGACCACTTCTAATAACCGTGGTTCAAGGGAAAGAGACTGTTTAAGACAGCAGCCCTAGCCACTTTGAATCTGAACACCTGTATGAGTCCAGAGTATCCTAGAAGTCCAACATGAAGCTACAGATGGCACCACAAGCGGTTTCCCCTGTCCACCCCCTGAACAAAGCTCCTAAGGGGTGTATCATTAGCTGCTGGTTGCCTTTTCATCCATCCTTTCCCCATCCCCTGCTTCCTTGCCATTGCTGGGATACCGCATGCCAGTCCCATTATTCCTACAATTGTGTCTGTAGATAAATTCATGACTAGAAGAGTGTACTCTTGTGGATATGTGGGGATGGGGGGTGGGGTGGGTGGGGCTGTTAATGATTGTCTTAAGGAATTTAGAATGGAAGCCTGACTTTTGCCTCTATGTAGAAATTGTGTTTCTAAATGCTTTGGTGCAATGTTTAGCGGCTGTTTATTAAACCCTTTCTGAATTATACTTGTGCTGGAAAAGTTTTATTGATGACTCCTAGCCTAACACAGACAGTACTATGTTCTTAACTTTCACTCATACCTCCACTCTAGTGCCACCCTTATTGTCCACTTCTTAACACCATTGGCAGAAGCTAGAGACATATTATAATGATCTAAAATGGAATCTGTATGACAACATACTTTTAATTCAAGGGTCTTATTACCCAATATGAAAGAGAAGGGAACAGCTGTGTTACTTCCTCTACTATATTCACCAACTCTAAGGAATAAGAAAATGTATGCTCATTGCAATTCTACAGGCTTTTCAGTTTCCTTTGGTTATTCTTCCCTTAGGCAATAGTTCTCCTAAGCAATAGTTATTAGGCAGAGTGAAAGTGAGTGTCTGCATGAGCCATGTGTTGGGGAATGGATGATGGCCTTACAGTTAGGACAAATAGGGGTAATAATCTCATGAGACATGCTTCAGAAAATTACCCAGCTCCTGAGGGATGGAGAAAATCTGCTTGCAAGACCATTTTCAATCATGAAAAAGGTTTTCTTGTTCAAAATAAAAGAAGAGATTTGGACAATCTGATTCTTGATGCACACTCCAACCCTGTGATCACCTGAAGGATGCTCTACCACCACAGTAATCCTATAGTCCATGACCAGTACAATCACACCACCAGAACAACTTCACAAGGCACAGGAGGCAGCCACCATTATAAAATTTGCCTGATACCACTATTAAGTGTTGTTTCTTTAAGAACCTTCTGAAACCATTTTGTCTCTGAAAACTATTCCTCTAGTCTTAGAGGAAAACCTCCAGCTACTGTGGTCAGTACTTCTGTTACTGAACATCCCTGGAATTTGAAACCCTGCTCCACTCTGAGGCTAGTATCTTATGGGAGGGGAGGAGGAGAAGGAGGAGGAAGAGGACAAGGAAGAGGATGAGGAGGAGGAGGAGGAGGAAAAGAAGGGAGACAGAGGGAGTAGAAGAGGGAGAAAAGAGATTCCCAATCCCCAGCAGACCATTGAGGGTACCAGACTGGAGGCTTATAGAAGATGGTCCAGCATCTAGTAGGCACTCAATATTTATTGAATAACTGAGTGCTAATCTAGATCAGAGCTACTAGGAGGAGAGCTTCTTCAGGGTGGTGGTGGAGAGGAGACTAGCCAAACCTTGATCAGTGGAGACTAATGGAAACAAACAAAATATAGCTTTCTTAAACATCCCTGACAGCATCTTGGTACTAGTAAATGTGCTCTGTTTTAAGCCACTTTAAATAGTTTTTTTCCTAATTAAATAATTGTTTGCTACTATGTGCTTTTAAATCTGGTGGTTTGTTAATAATCCATTAGTTGCCCTTGCTAGAGTACTGAGGGCAGGAGAGGAAGGCATGATGAGCACTAGAACTCTCTGAAAGCCTCAAGCACAGGTACACTGTCTAATCCAGAATGCATCTGTGTTGTGACCCCTTTCAGAGAGCTCACCAGGTTGGATTTGGGAAGGAGACACCTGGAACTCTGAATCATTTCAAGAGGCCCAGAAAGATGAAAAGAATAGGAAGGAGACTGGAAAAGAAAAGGTCTATTTGGGGAGCTTCTGTCAAAGGGGTCCCAAAATTGCAGGCAAGGATTTCTCCTCCTCAGATTCAACAGCTTCTAATTACACAGTTTCCCTTTAGCTCAACCACATTAATCATGCAACCGTCGGCTGGAGTGAGGCCAAAGGTACCTTCCCTTGTTAATGAGGAAGCTGCCTTCTGGGCCTCCTGCCTTTACCTTTTCTATTTAAATTGTATATATTTAAAGTATGTAATATGATGCTTTGACAAACATATACATAGTGAAATGACTACTAAATTCAAGCTTTTATATTTGAGTTTTAGGGATTTGTTTGGGCTTTGTTTTATTCTTTTGTTTTTAGATTTCACATGTGAGTGAAATCATGTGACACTTGTCTTTCTGAGCCTAGCTTATTTCACTTAATATAATGTCCTCCAAGTCCATCCATGTTATAAAAATGGGCAGCCTATTCTGGTTCTACTTTCCTTTTGCCTCAGCTCCAATAATTTGATATCAGGAGAACAACACTAAGATGAATGAGTACCTGAATTTTAGCCAGAATTCAGTCCCATTACAGTTGCTGTGTAATGTTGGGCAAGTCCCTCCCTTGAGCTGAGACTCAGTTTCCCCATTAGGAAAATCAGATTATGATCAGAGCCAAGGAAATTCAGTATTCTTTCTGCAGTTTATTTAGTGACACATTGCCAAGTGTCAACAAATCCTGGATCCTATCCTGATTCTACTGTTGCCCTCACACCAGCCTATCCTAGGACCACAAACTCCATCCTTCAAATATGTATGACACGATTGGCAGCTTTTAAAGAATTTCATGAAACACTGTCATATCCTTGCCCTGAGCTCTGGGTGACAGGGACTGATGTGTGTGATGAGATGCAGGATTATTAGTGGCCCAACTCTAGTCCAAGCATGGGGACTTTCGATCTCAAACTGAGAAGGTTAAGGGAGTGCTGGTGCCAGGCAGGAGGAGCCCCAGATAAGTTGAGAGCACAGAGTGGAAACAAACCACACCTCTTTTGTTTTTCCCTCCAAAATCTTAGCTCAGGAGAAAACAGACCTCCTCAAGAGAGATGCTGTTAGATTTCTTATGATGAAATAGTCCCCTTGGCATCTATACACACTTCTCCCTTCTGTTCTGCTTAAGGCCAGCTCTTCCTTTGTTCTTCATCTCTACTCTCTTTTCAAAGAATTCTAATTTTGTTATCTGCTTTCAGTGAAACTGTTCTTGCTGAGTCACCACTGTCCTTGTTACTAAAACCTAAAAGCATTTTTCAGTTATCTCTCTTGAACTGTCAGCAGCATTTGACACTGTTGACAACTACTGAATCCTTGAAACTTATTCTTAGGTTTCCATGATATCATAGTTTCCTGGTAGCCCCACTTTTCTCCTGTTCAGCCTTTCTGTTTCTAGTGTTTTTTTCTTACACAACTTCTCCCTTCCCTTAAAGTCTGGGGTTCCCTACAGTGTTTACTCTGTT